GATTTGATTTTCAATTTCTCCATTCACATCCTAGTCTCCCTATCAGTAAAATGTGATAATAATTCATAATGCTCATATTTATCATTTAAGAATATATATATATACGTGTGTGTGTATATATATATATATATATATATATATATAAAGAACCACCACCTGGCCCCACCCTTCGGCCCTGCCCCCTCACCAGTGATGTGGTCCAAGTGGTCGTCCTGGGGCCGGTGGTCATAGCGCTGGCTGCTGCGCAGGCCAAACTGCACCAGCCCATAGGTGGCGCTGTCAGGATCCTCGAAGGCCACCATAATGTTCTTCCGGAGCGCACACAGCGCCAGGGCGGGGTGGCAGCAGGAGAAGGTGCGTAGCGGGCTCAGGCTCTCCTCCGAGTAGGGGAACATACGCCACATCTTCACCGTCAAGTCCCCGCCTACCAGGTGGGGCAGAACCAGCGCTGGGCCTTTGTGCAGGGAAGGGGTTCCCGGCTCTGGGGCAGCAGGAGTGGGTACTGACCGGAGGACACGACACTGTTCCAGGTCGATGCGATGGCAGTGACCGGGCCCGGGCTGTGCGCCTCTGTGTGGAAGACGGGCTCCAGTGTGTGCCAGCTGAGCACTGACAAGGTGCCGTCCGTGTGCCCCACCAGGGGCAGGTACCTGCAGGCGACACCAGCCTGTTGGCACGGGCCCCACAGGCCTGCCCGGCCCTCACTGGCTCTGACACCTACCTGTTCTTTTCATGTACATCCTTTTTAAAAAAATATGTTTTTATTGGTTTTTTAGAGAGAGAGGAAGGGAGAGGGGGAAGAGAGAGAAACATCAATGAGAGAATCATGGATGGCTGCCTCCTACACGCCCCCGACAGGGGATCCAGCCACAGCCCTGGCATGTGCCCTGACCGGGAATTGAACCCACAACCTCTTGGTTCCTGGGTCGATGCTCAACCGCTGAGCCAGACGGCTGGGCCACCTACCTGTTCTTCTCCTTCCAGGTTCGGATGTCGCTGTGGCCCACCTCACCTTTGCACTGGCGCACCGTCTCCCAGCTGGAGAACGCGCTCCTGGGGTCAGTGAGGTGGCTGTAGAGGTGCAGGCAGCAGGGCCGGGGCGCCGGAAGCGGCAGCGGGCTCTTGCGG